TCTCCAGGATGCACACCCAGAAACCCAGGAGACCCAGCTATCCCCAGAGTCTCTGGACTTCTTTGCCAAGTGGGCACAAGGAAGGTGACGCCGATGGGAACTCTCTGTCCTTCACCAGCTGCTTCCCTGGACTCCACTGTGGCTTTCCAGGAGAGGTCAAGGCTCTGTCGCATTATTAGAGCTGTCTTTTCCCAGGGAAAACCACATGTGTGCATGGAATGCACACGCCTGCCGCCTTTACATAAGAGCTCCACATAGATCATGGGCTTGTCCCAGCCCCGTCCATGGTCAGTCCATGGTCAGCTGGGTCTGACCGACCATGTACAGGTCCATCTACACTTCGACTCAGGTACAACAGGACATGAAGGAAAAATCTGGGCATGAAAAATAAAAACCAAGTCCAAAGGCAAGAGCTGGAGGGAAAGAATGTACATAAGAATTAGTCCTTTAGTTCCCTGGTTTTGTTTCTTTTCCTTTCCGTTTTTGTTTTCTATCAGTTAGTTATTCAGCTCAATATATTCAACAGATATTTTAAACATAAATTCAGTGCCAGGTACTTTTTTAGGTACCATAGAAACAGCAAGTAATGAAAACAGAGCCCTTGCTGATAAAGAGCTCACGTTCAAAAGGGGGTTACATTTAAACAATATGTGAAATGCGATGGACGAGACAAGTACTGTGGAGGAAAAGAGCAAGGGAAGGGGATAGAGCGATGGGAGCGCTGGTTCACACAGGATGAGCAGGGAGGGTCGCCCTGATGAGCAGAGGCTGAAAGGAGTGAAGGAGTGAACTGGGGATATCGGAAGAGGGTTGCGGGTAGTCGGAACAGCAGTGCAAAGGCCCCGAGGCAGGATCTTATTCGCATTTCTCCACTGAGATGTGACTAAGACTTGGACAGCTGCACGTCTGAGGCGTGACTCACTGGAGAGGGTCAGAGCGTGGGTTTTGTGATCCCGTCCGTTTGCTTACTCAACAAGTCCGTGCTAGGTGCTGGTTAGCACTGCAGAGGGAGCACCCCTGTGCACGAAGACCTTACAGCCTTCAGAGGGAGACAGATCTGTCAGCGGGTAACCGAGTGTGATTGGAATCAGCCCCGAGAGGCCTAGGAGCAGAGAAGAGAGGAACCAGCCAGGCTGTGGAGTTAGGGAGGGCCTCCTGGAAGAGGTGACGAGTTGGGGGCTGGGCATAGCGTAATCCAGGCAGAGGGAATTGCATCTGCAAAGGTTTGGAGGTGGGGAGAGCTCAGAGAGCCACAGACGGCTGGGCATAGAGTGCGCAGTGGGGAAGTTGTAGGTGAGGGAGGAACTGTGGGCAGGGGTCAGGTTCCGGGGAGCACGGAGCACTGGGAACGGGGGATACGCTGAGACACGGTACCGAGGCATCCGGCTGCAGGGACAAGAACAGAAGCAAGCGATACTGATGAAAGCAGGGGGATGCCTTAGGCGGCTTTAAAATCACCCTCATAAGAGACGGTGGCCTGAATTAGGATTGGCCGAGTAGGAATGGAGAAGAAAGGATATTTTCAAGCAATATTTAAAAAGCAAGATTTGGTGATTATTGGAAACGAGGGCTGAGGGGGAAGGAAGGAGCTCAGACAGGAAGGGCCCGGCGTCCGCATAGATGACTGGCAGGCGGTGGCGCCTTTGCTTGCTGCAGATGACACAGTGAGGAGGCGGCGATTGAGGGGGACTGACGAGTTCAGATTTGGACCTGCTGAGTCTGAGGGGCCTCACGCAGCTCAGCCCAAGCAGAGAGGTCCAGCGGGCAGGAGGGTAGAAGGATCAGAGGAGCAGCCAGAGCTGGGGATACAGATATGGAACTCGCCAGCCTGTGGATGGTACTTGAAACGTGAGATAATTTGATACCTCCCAGGGAGAGTATATGGAATGACCAAAAAATGGGACCCCAGCATTCTTAGGGACAGCCAGAGGAAGAGGATCCTATAGCTACAGAGCAGGAATCTCCAAATAGGTACAGGAGAATCAAGAAAATACATGTGGAGTTGAGGAAGCTGGAGGAAGCAGCAAACACATGCGGTGGCAAAAAATCCCCACTGGACCTGGCCACGAGATGACTTCACAGGGAAGTTTCAGCCGCATGGTTGAGACTGGAATGGAGGGGTCAGAGAGGGATGGAGGAACGGACTCGGAAAAGGAGGACGATCGCATCACCAGAAGTTGGGAGATCAGGAGCGGGGGACAGAGGTGACTATTTACGTGTTTATAGGGGACAGAGCGAGGTGGGGTGTTGGCCTAGATTTTCTTGGAACGGGACACAAGATGTCTGCTGAGAATGGTGGGGTGAGTGGGTGGCGATGGCTGCAGAGACCATGTAAGAGGGTGGAGAAGGTTAAGGGCAGCCGCTGGGAAGGTGGGTGAGCCCCGGCCAGCTGGACGGCTCAGTGGGCTGCGTTGCCGGCCCAGCTGTCCTAAGCTCCACATTTCAGGAACGTTTCTCCAAATGCACCAGGAGTGGAGAAGGTGGCTTGCAGCACCTTTTCTTCATCCGAGTTGAGGTTTTGCTAGAAGGTGTTACTGAGGCTAAGACCCCAGCACTCCCTCCCCCCAGTAGCCTTGATTCTTTGAAGAGTCCAGAAGTGACAGAAGAAAGGCGGTGGCCACTTGTTCTGCAGAAGCTCGGACTCTCGTTCTAACCCCATTACTTCCCACTCCACGAAAGCCAGGTCCAAGCCTGGAGTTTAAAGTCCATGATCTCCTAAAGCCTCTTCTTGGTTCCACACCTTCTGATTTCTGGGCAGCCCCCGTGTCAAAGGGGGTTGGAGGAGAGGCTCTTCTGGTGCTTATTTTGTCCAGGGGCTTTCTCTGTCCTTTGTCGTTGTATAACTCACCATCACCAAATCGGCCATTTCCAAACCCTCAGCAATAAGTAGCTGAAGTTGGGTAGGTTCTACAGGCCAAGAGTGGGAGACACCCATCCCCNGGATACAACAGTGAACAATTCAGACAAATCCCTCCCCTCTTGGAGTTCATTGCCCGGTAGGCTAGAAGAACTTGAACACGTAATTCCAAGTAGATCAGGCATTTCAGAAATGGAGGGCACAATGGGGTGCTCTTCCATATAATGGGGGGATAATGATGCCCTCCCAGGGTCCACTCCTCTTTCCAGAAACATTTGTTTGAGCACCACCCATGTACTGGACCCTGTGCTAGATGCTGGGGAACACTGGTGAATAAGACAGACACAGTCCCTGCCTTCAGGAGTCTCAGTCCTTAGAGGTGATAAGGGACACGCAGGTGATGACAGGCACCTGGCACATCCTTGAACTCCCTCCACTCAGTGGGCTTCTCCCTACCAGTCCAGAAAGCTGTAGACTTGTTTCCAGGACCACATCAGCAGAGGCGAGCAGACCCGTTGCCCCCATTGGTAGGGCACGCTTGCAGGGGGCCTCTCCAGGATGCACACCCAGAAACCCAGGAGACCCAGCTATCCCCAGAGTCTCTGGACTTC